TTTTATGTTTGGTTTTAGCAGTTTTGTTTTGTTCTATTTTCACACTAATAAATTTAATTGAAAAACATTACCAAAAAAGTCTAGACCAATAATTTTTTTATTGTCATACATTCCTCTAATATGAACATTTTACAATAAATCAGTTGATATATTGGCTACAATCACATCACATTATCAATTACTATAGACAGTAGAACTCCAATGATCCGTCTCTGAATTAATCGTCATTTCAAATGACCACTAACGGCTCCAACGGATTTATATGACTAAAAATTCCCATTTATATGATGTCTTTTGGCATTCAGTTTCATTCGTTTTAAATATTTTTGGAGAATTTTATGGATAAAATCTTTTCAATCTGGACCATTACCTTTAAAATGGTGCCAACACACATCTGGAGTCCAATTCATAAAAATCGATCGCGTTCGGCTCAAAACTAATGTTTTTATATTGAATATGTTCGAACACGTTTACCACTTTCAAAAAACGTTCATTTCTATTGCATTAAAAAAGAAAAGCGCTTTTAAACGTAAAGTATTGTACAAGCCGTACGCTTTCGATTTTCATAAATTAGACTACTGGCGGGGTGAATAATTCTTGTTCCACTGTAAATGTTATATATTTGGTCCAGTAACGACACAAAGTAGCTAAAACGCAATGTTATATGCATTTTGATATATTTTACACACTTTTATTCACTTTCTTAAATGAATTTAATTACATTGATAAAGGGGAAAAAATCAAAATATAAAGTTTAAAGTGAGTGAAAGAGATAAGAAAAGATCAGAGTTGAGAGAAAACGAGTAATCTGTTGTCATATTATGTCAAATTGCTTTCATATGATTGATTAGCGTCCTTCATTCACCACAATTGATAAACATTGCAGCGCGTGCAGCACTTTCAAATATGTCTTTGAAGTATATTGAAATCAAATCAAAGCAGTTGATGAGTATACTAAATCTTTTCTTTGAACATTCTATTCACGTCATTAAATGACGTCATCATTTGAACGTAATATTTACATCCGATTTTTTTTTGAATTTGTTTCAAATCTTTGTCCATTTATTTGTCAATGCTGTTCTTGTACACTTCCAAGAAAAATGTTGCTCAAAACAAATTTCCCCAATTACGTACAGAATGAAGAGTAAAACACAATTTGCGCGTGGTTTTCATGTTTTAATGAACTGAATCATTTGTAGAGAGCTATAGTTTTTAATTGTTTTATGGCCGTTTGAGTCCCAAATTTCCTTGTAAATTGGTTCATATTTACATGAACGAATGGTAATGAAAACTAGAAAAAACCGCTTTAAAGCCTTGGGTTCAGCATCCTTTTGCAATATTATTAATAAAAAGGCAATTCAGCAAACATATGTGCTTGTCGCAATTCGAATCGAATGGTCGAGAATATAAAATATAAATGTAGAAAATGGCAGTTTAATTTGGTTTTATCATCGCCACTTTTTTTTCCGTCAATTGATTCGCGAGCAAAAATTCTACTCACTTCATTAGTTAACGCTTAAATAAATGAAAACAAAAAAAACTTTATTAATTTGTAACAATTGAAGCGCCGTTTTTGTGCGGAGAATTTTTTTTCGTGTTCTTTACATTTTTATTTATATATTTACACATTTTGTCTCGTTCAAAATGCCATTTTAAATACCGAATTCATTTGAGGACAATCGTTCGTTCATTCGTTTAATGGCGGGCAATAATTTTGTGAAGAATAAATTTTTTAAACTTTATGGACTAGGGATCAACAAATTATGAACGCGTTTCGTGTTTCACTCAACTGAACATGTCATGTGAACAGCACGATCTAATTTCCGAAAAATTAAAATATATAGACTTGGAGCAAATGAATACCATTTATAATTTTAACAAATAAGGCCAAGTTAAATGCGTGAACACTCGCAAATAGTTAACAGAGTTGAAGAAACTGTTCAGCATATTCTGTCATTTCGATATGTATGATGTATTCTATTATTATTGATATATGTTATTTGGTATTTTTGTTTTCAAGAAGCAACACACATATCTCTTTTTCACATGATTACATAAAATTACTAAACATGAAATGAATATAAGTCTCAATTATGGCAGAGTTGTCAGTAAAATTCTATTGTTTTATTATTATTATTGTGTATGAATGTTTTTGTATTAAATCGAAATTTAAATTGCTTGTTGATTGCAAAACTGTTTGGCGAATGAAAAAGCCTATGAAGATAATCAAAATTCGGCGATTCAATATTGTTGACAATGAGTTCTACGCATCATGCACAAGTTCAGGGTACGATCAATTTATTTGATGATCTAAAATGAGAACATCGGGAATGGAAGTAGATCGATTTTTTTTTATGTTGACCTTCAATGAAAATTGGGCATATATCGGATTTCGAAATGTAACCAAGACCACTACCGACATTTATTCGAAACGAAGATACTTTGTTTCTTAAAATTTGAGTCATGGTGTAATAATAAGTACACAGCCCAATTTAATGCATATGATGATATTTTTCTTTAATTCTACACGACTTGCATTCAAAAGATGCACAACAATGTGAAAAAAGCGAAACGCCCCATAACGTCATCAGATGAATTTTTCTATCACTTGTTTTTTTATCAGTTGTAACATTATCTGATTTTATATTTGGAAGACATAAAGATATTTTTTCACTGTTTAATTCATAAAAATGGGTGATAACATAACATTGCCATTGAGAAAAATGACATTGCACTCATTGATATACATTTTTCTTTTTATATCTTTATCACCGTAGCTTAAATGACAACAGATGCGTAAGTAGGCAATAAAAGCAATCTGATAAAAAAATTATTGACGATTGTTAAGGCTCGTACTCAAAATGTGTGAAACATTCGATTGTATTGAATGAACACTCTTCATTTAACTCAAAAATTGTGATTTGTAAGTAGAATTGATGCGTAATCACATTATTTTAAGAATTTTAGGATGGCAATTTCGTTTAAAGGTCATTTGCCATCATTATAATCTATTTGTATCATGTGACGACATTGAACATTTGACCGATATTTTTTTCTCGATATGTGGTTGCATGCAAATGTTTAAAACATGTTTCACCCATGTCAATAGTTCCGCAAACACGTGCGGATTGACCGGTTTAACGGTTACTTACAAATTAAAAAAAAAAACTAGTTATTATTTGACGAAAGAGTAACAATGAGAGAGTAAAAAAAATCAATTGTTATATCAATCAACCGAACAATAATTTAAAATGAAAGAAAAAAAGATTCCGACCAAAAATGTACACTCTTCCCAATGGTTTACGGACGCCGGATATTTGAATTCTTTGAAATTTATTTTTATAAACTTTGACGATAACATCATTTTCATAAAATTTCAATAAAAACGAATTCAATTATTATTAATCCGAATCACGAATTTCGTGACTACGTTCAAATTCTACATAAAACATTAAATAACGCAAACCGTTTTTGTAAACGATAAAAAAGACAAGCCGTCAAGTAGCTCTTGACTTTCAAGTGAGACACTTGATGATCTTCAAAATAACAAATGTTCTGAAATGCTAAGGGCGAACTCACAACTGTGTTATAAAAATATAAGATTGTATTGACAGTTTTTTCGGTGAATATGGATAAGTCCGTTTTTAGCAAAAACTCTTTGAACGAGTTATAAGTAGCTTGAATTGGTTGCCGTAGTCAGAATAAGCACATCCACATGAATATTCATATGTAAGAGTTTGTAAAAGTTTGTAAATGTTCAATATTAAATCTATTATGTTTCTAAGAAGCAATTTAAACAAAATGAATTTTTTGGCTAAAAATTGCGTCACGTGATTCTGTTGAATCAACGATGAAAATGCCATGATCGAATGAAAGACCATCGAATTATTGCAATTACCTGATATTTGCCATATTACATACCTTTTCCATAATAAACGATAAAAAAAAAGGAAAACAATTGTAATGAAACGTCATTAATTGAGATGATACTCAACACTACAGTTGATGAGAGCATATTGAGATAAAATAACGGATACCATACATACTTCATATATGAAGTATCCACTTTTCAAGCTATAGATCGGAAGTAAGTTTTTTCCACTCCAAATGCTCGAGATAAAATTATTTTGAAAGTTTGAATGATATAATTGAAAAATGTATAATAATGTTCGACAATTAGCATTCGATAACGGCATGTATATAAAAGTATTATAAAAGTGTCAACAAAATAATCGGCGTTTGTAAACCCAGAAAGTCTGCTGTGGAAGCAAAAAAAGGCAGCGCACTTCCACTGTCGGAAACACACATATGTTTATCAAACTCAATCAATAGCCATATGTTTCGTCTTTTTGCAGTTGCTCATGACAGCCCGAGATCTAAAGTAAACAGATAGAATTCATCAAATAAGTCTCATTTACAAAAGCCAACTTTGTAAATTCATCGTATTACGTTCGAACGTAATATGATCTCAATAAAACCAATTAAAAAGCAACTTTTATGCTTCATGTGAACAAGATCTGTTATGAAAATTTGTCAATGCCAACTCATAATAAGTAATTGAAGCACGTAATAAATGTTTTAATTTCAGGAATAAACAAATCAAATGCGTGAATATCGATTAGGGTTTCCGATAAATAAGAACAAAATTGAAATAAATTAACGGCATTCAGTTATTCTCTAACAAGAGAGTTTTTAGTTTGGCTCTTTTCTACTATACGAGTGTTGAGTGTGTACACATACACACTCTCCCACAATATTTTATTTCTTCACATCTCTCTCGGGCTGTCAAATTGTCTAGTCGCTACAGTATTGGTATGATATACAGAGAATAGGAGAGGGAGACAGACGAAAAAGAGCAACAACAAATAATGAAAATGATTGGCGATAAAGCATTTCGTTTATTTATTTTTTATTTATTTCTAAACCGACATACGTAAAAAAAGCGAATCACTTGTTTTAGTGCGATTGAGCGGCGTGCATGGCTATATAAGCCACTGGAACAACATTATCATTTTTCATTTCATAATATTTACCGTTCGCGTACAGGCACGAACGAATTAGTGGGTCTAAAAGTCTCTTTTCATCAGAGCAGTTCGTTTGAACATTTTCCAACCGAAGAATCGTTGGGATCATTGTGTCATCATCCAACGCCAAAAAAACAGTTTTGGGAAACAGAGTGTACCAAACGAATATCAACGATATTTTTGTGAATTTTTAACAAAATTTTTCTTTTTTCCGACGATTAGCGGCCAATTTATAAAAACACAATGGTGCAATCAGAATTTGCAAAATGTAAGTGAAACATGCAGTCCGTTTTGTGTGATTTATTTTTTTTCGATTTGTTTTTGCGTGATTGTGTGAATAGAATATTGGGATTAAAAAAATCTTAATAAGATTAAATTGCATTCGAGAGTAGCTTTAATGCAAAGAGGCTTTGAAATGGTTTTACTTTCGATAAAAATAAATTCCCCGATAAAAGATGGAAAAATATTTGTGCTCATTACAATATGAATGACATCGTTAAAATGACGTTCTGCAATCATTATAGCTGCAATGAAATCCGATTAAACGACACTCAAATGTTTCTATTTTGGTGATATCTGAAGTGTTTTAATTGACAAGTGCTATAAAATGACTCTGATAAACGATGTAAATGACATTTATGATTGAGATTTTTTTCTCTTTTTCGATAAATTTGTGGTGAATCACTTCAAAACAAAAATATTTTTAAAATACATCCATTTGCAATTCTTCAAACACTTTTCCAAGAATTCCGACAATTTATGTCTGTTATTCACGCTTCTATCGGTGAGAGTGGCATTCGCCAATATATTGTTTTTTTTTTACAAAACAAGTATAACAAAGACGTCAAATTATAGGTCATTGAAAATACTTGCAAAATTTCATAAAAAAACTTTCTTTGCGCATTGATTACATTCGAAAAAAAAGTGTTGAAAAAACATTGCATTAACTCGTACCAACAGTTTTACGAATATCGTAAACAGTTGTAAATTTTTCCATTGGAAAAACACCTTTGAAATGATTTTGTTATGTTTATTACATGCTTGATTATGCACATAAATATTGACAAATATTTTGAATGAGATTTCAACAATTGCCACAATGTTTATTTCACCTTTACGATTTAAGCTTAATGAATAATTTTCATTAAGATAAAATTGCGCATCTTTCAAGTCTTTTACGCATTGGGCATTTATTGAATTCTTTTTCTTCGATCTGTTTTCATCACTTACTTCGAATTTTCTTGAATTGACGCGTGTTTCGAGTTAAAATGGTCTGTTGTAATGGAAATGTACCAAAATGAAACAAAAAAGTTGATTAATATAATCAAAAAATCGGTTGAATAGATCTGATCTACAATACGTCGCAAACGCGATAAAAACTGTCGGATGAACGCCATCAATCTTCTGCAACGCTTTTTCGCAACTTTCAATGACATCATTCAATTTCAAATGCAAATTTCTTATGTTTATCCGACACGATTCGCTTTTTTTGTCTCTATATTCTTATCCGTTTTTTTCTTCTATAAATTCATAGATGAGAGAGCTTATACATATTCAATTGGATATTTTGTGAGTTCAGTGAAAATAGTTTTTATTTTTGGGGGAATTGACCGTCGTTGCGTATTTTGAGTTCAATTTTAAAACAGCCTAAGATATTTCACGTGACATTGAATGGTGCAAAAATCAATGAGGAAATTTTCGCAAACACTTAAAACCATATTCAACGTTTGAATTTCAAACACGCATATATCGCTTTGACCGTTAAAATACGATGAAGATGAATCTTATTAATCAGCATTTTTGCATTTTGTTTAGTGTGAATGAATCTTTTGAATGTAAAAAAGACAATATGTCGTTAGCAATATGCCGACTGTATAAATATTTAATGTTTTTTCTTCTCTGTTTTCATTATAAATTGACGACAAGAAGCATCAATGAGTACTCTTTTTCCACATTGAGTATCTCTCGTTCCGAAAATGTCTTTCGTTTTTTTCTTACATTCAAATGTACGAATTCGATCGTCAAACAAAGCAAAAGCAAACCACACAAAACCAAAATGCATATTTTAAATTGTCTATTTGTTATCGATAGATTCAGTTATAGCTTGCGAATGTGCGAAAGAGAGAGAAAATTATGCCAGTCAATTCATAACCAGTCCCAATAAAAACAATCGTGCACACTGCACATAATAATTTATGCTTATGTTGAAGTTTTCAAGTTCAAGTGCTGTGAGAAAATAGTAGAAGTTTAATCAATTTAACCGCACACACATACATTGAGCATGTTTTTTTTTTTTTGTTTGTTTTCGTGCAAAAACGAGATACAAATTCCGAAAGCGAGAGAAAAAAAAACACAAAACTGCTGCACCGCAAACAACAAAAACCTACGTAAATTCGTAATTGCTATATTTTATCCGGCAATTGAATATCACATATGTATTTTAGAATTTGATGGAGTTGATTAAATGGGAATTCAAATGAAATGTAATGTCAATTAACAGCAAATTATTTCTCTCATTTCGGAATTCAATCGTAGATCAACTATGCGAAAATATTCACGCGAAAAATATTTACATGTGTGTGCACATTCAGCAAGATCAGTAGGTAGTAGACAAAAAAAATGAGTAAGAAAAAAAAGTACGTTTTGTGCAAAACACACATATTTCACGCCGTTTTTTATCTCTCTCAACAATTCCTCTATTATTCAAAGCATCCAACCGACTGGACTACAAATTCATTTTTACTTTGCTCGCAATCGAACACGAGACTATTTTCCTTTGATGATGAACAAAAGCATTCGAATTAATCGACATTTTATTTATTTATTTCGTCAGTTGTGTACATTTCTCGTTTCACTATAAATGGATAACAAATGCATGTTTAGGGAAATGATTTCACATGTTATAAAAAAAACAGTTCAATTTTTAATGGGTTGTTTTTTGTCAATACATACATATAAATTATTTTAAGTGCGGGAAAAACAGCAAATTAACTTTTTTCTAGTTAATACATTTCGTGTGGACAACACGAGATTTAATGAGCGAAACGACACATGATTTATTTTAGCCATGGCTTATCATCGCATTTTTTGCGATTCCAAATCAGCTGTCGAAAACCATTCTTAAAATCAATTCATCGATCGATCCCAAGCAAAAAGATTACTATTTTGTAAAATCAAATTATCGCAATAGAAATATTTTAATTTTTCACGGGCGACCTTAAATTAATTATCAAAACTGTCTTTTTGCCCTCAAAGAATGTCAACTTATATTTTCCTGTGATTGTCGACACGCCCAAACTTTGGTGTCGGAAATACGTTAAGATTTATGCATGGCCATACATCCAATCAATTTTATTCGTGTCAAATGTGAATAATAAATAAAGAAAACATTGTAAATCAATAATTGAAAGCCTTCTCGATCACATTGAAACGCAATTGACGTAAAGGCATTTAATGGCTTTGACTTTTCCTTCACGCCAAAGCTGTATCAAATTCTAACTTCTCTTATCAATTTATTAATTTTCTCTGCTTCGAACACAGTACTGTGAATAATTTTAAATCAAAATTTCTTCAAATATTTGCAAATGTTTTTAATGCATTTTTTTTTGCATTGAATGATGCAATGTGTGTTTGTTGTTTATGTTCTAGGTTTCTGCATTCCGCAGCGTATAATCATGTCGATTATGTGTTTTTTTGCGATTGCAATTGCGTATGTAATGCGTGTTTGTTTATCGGTGGCAATTACTGAAATGGTAGCCAAAGTAAATCACACCGAACAGGCGAGTACATCCAATCACAGCATATGCATGGCTGATCCAGTTCCAGCAGGATCTCATGTTGTGGTAGGTTTGATTTTCTTTCCATTAATAGTATTGTTCTTCTCATATCTGAATTGATTGTTACTTTAGAGCCATAGCGGTAGTGGTGAATACCATTGGAACCAAGAACAGCAAGGCTGGATCTTATCGTCATTTTACATTGGCTATGTTTTAACGCACGTGCCTGGTGGTGTCATTGCTGAACGATATGGAGGAAAGTGGACATTATCGCTTGGCATTTTATCAACAGCCATTTTCACTCTTCTTACACCTCTAGCCGTTCAACACGGTGGATATATTGCATTGATTGTTTTGCGTATTTTGATGGGTTTAGGTAATTTTTCAATCTTATTTCTTCAAAAGGAAGAGTAAATTTAATTTAAGAAAAATGCTTTTCTTTTAGGCGAAGGCACAACATTCCCCGCTTTGAGTGTTTTGCTCGCTTCGTGGGTGCCTGAAAAAGAAAGAAGTAAACTGGGTTCATTTGTTTTTGGAGGTGGTCAGGTGTGTAATTATCTTTTTTTATCTAAAATTGTTCAATGCCGACTATTTTATCTCCTTGATATTTTCGGTTTTGTAGTACCTGAAAAATTGATGAAAAATTTACACTTTAGCCAAAAATTATAATTAACCTTGAAAAATGATCAACCGTTCTCTGTACCTGCTCTTTGTGCAGGCAGATTCACTGATTTCGATAAAAAAAAAAGTATGACAATAACTTGTTTTATGTCACGCGCTTTTTGTCAACATTCAATTTAAAACATTTAAATAACAAGTATTTATAAACGGAAGTAATGGAATTAATTATGTTTTCCAAAAAAAAAAGTTTACGACGTGCGATGAAATCAAATTGCCGGCATTTTCACATCAAACTTTTTATAAACGTACTCAAATTATCGGAGTAGTACTAGCCATGTGTTTTGAAATATACGTAAACAATCATACGAGACATGTCATTAACTTTTGCTTATATGGTGTAATTTTATTCAAGATTTACTTTTATGGAAGTTTTCCAGCTAGAAGCAATTCATATTTTGTCTCTCTCTCTCGGTCGCAAACAAATTTTTATTGTTTGAATGCATTAACACACTTTTACGAAAACATTTGTCAATTCTTAATTTCTGTCATACATTTTTCTTCTTGAAATTCATTGATAAAAATGTCTTTTATTTGTGAAAAAGGTTTATATTACAGTTGACTTCTTTTATTTGCAGATCGGAACAGTCGCCGGAAATCTTTTGTCTGGTTTGATTTTGCATTCGTATCCATGGCCATGGGTGTTCTACGTGTTTGGTATTGTTTCGATCGTTTGGTTTTTGATTTTCGTAAGTTTTTTACAAAACAAAAATTACACCAGCTTGCTGGTTCTAATGAAATGCATTTTCAATTGTAGACTGTGATTTGCTACAGCAATCCAGGTTCACATCCATTCATTACATCGGAGGAACGTGAGTATCTTGAAGCTGAACTTGGTCAATTAAAACGTCAGAAAAAGTAAGATAAACTTTACCATGTCATTTGAAACAAATGTAATTTACTTGATTTTTTCTCTCTTAAGTTTGCCACCAACTCCATGGCTATCAATTATCACGTCGGTACCAATGATTGCACTCGTATGCGCCCAGGTAAAACGAAAAAAATTCCAAAATAAGTTTGAAATGTATTAAACGAAAAATATCATTTTAAAAAGATTGGTCATGATTGGGGATTCTATATTATGGTATCTGATTTGCCAAAATACATGAGCGAAGTGTTGCAATTTTCGATAAAAGACAACGGAATCTATTCGTCATTGCCGTACTTGGTTATGTGGATTGTTTCAGTGTCGACTGGATGGCTCAGTGATATCTTGATCGTTCGCAATTGTCTTACAATTACCGGTGCACGGAAGTGGTTTACGGCAATTGGTTTGTTTTTTAAGCAAAATGCAAGAAATTACAATGAAAGTAAACTGGATTTTCCTTTGTTTTCGAATTGCAGCTGCCATTTTCCCGGCCATATTCATTGTATTGGCTTCATATGCTGGATGTAATAAATTTTTGGTTGTGGTTTGGTTTACATTGGCTATGGGTTTCATGGGCACCTTCTATCCGGGCATGAAAGTAAATCCATTAGACTTGAGTCCGAACTACGCCGGATCTATAATGGTGCGGTTATTTTTTTTAGTTGAAACACTTATTTCTTTTTTCTATTATTGAGCATCTATCATTTCTGTTTAGGCTGTTACAAATGGCATTGGTGCATTGACTGGTGTTGCCGCACCAGTTTTTGTTGGTATTATGACACCAAACGTAAGTTTTCGATGAATAATAATGATGGTTTTCAATTATGAATGATAAGAGTTATATTGTTTCAAATTTACAGTCATCTCTAACCGAATGGAGAATCGTATTTTGGGTAACCTTTGCCATATTCGTGGTTACCACTGTTATTTACTCGACTTGGGCTTCTGGCGAAGTTCAACCATGGAACACACCAAAAGGATTTAAATCGCCCGAATACGGTAACATGGAAAATAACAACGAAACCGATAAAACAACCATCGAATTTCATCAAAAGCAATAAAAAAACACGACAATGACAACGAACTATCTCATTTTATCGGACGATCGTAAAACATCTTCAAATCGAAGTGTTTAATCAATCAAAAGCGCTTATCTAACTCATTGCTGCAATCAAATAATCTAAAGAATTATCAGTGATAATTTATCGTAATCCAAAGAATTTTTTGTCTAGTGCGTGTAAATCAAACAAATCAACCGGGTTCCGATAGCAGTGTAGATAAACAACATTTACAACAAATGCCATTTATTCATCTCATATGCAGCCATTCCAAGAGGAAAAAAAAGACTCATCCACACAATTCGACACTACTCATCCACATATCGTCTTCTACTTCCTCGTTTCTTTTTCTCTAATTCTCTTACTGTCGAAATATGAATAAATTGATTAATAATGCGAACACTTCAAAAGTGTGTAAACTCAATAGATACAAATGCACACATGCACACACACATTCACCATATGTTTATACGACGTTGTATTTGTTATCAAACACTGAACTTCAATGCATTAAGTTTCGTTTTAAGAAATTTCAATTGTTTGCCGGTTACTCATGATATGAATCTACTTAACATTCGTTTGAACAAAATTGCCACGAAATTCGGTAAAAAAAAATTAATTGAAATATTGAAACAACAAAAATACAATTACCGCATAACAGTAATAAACGATATAATAACGAATGTTGATATATTAGATTAATGAACGATTATTTCGTGTTATAAAAGACATCGCTTTAGTGAATGAAATGTAATTGTTTTGCAAAGAATATAAAATTTGCATTTCTAAGATTAGTAAAGTTGTACGCAAAATGTTTTTCTAGCTTGAATAAAATGATTCAACCCAATTATTTATCAACGAAAATATAAAAAGGAATGTTTACGTTTATTTATTCAGCAAATTGGCTCATTACGATTTATTATCACAATTCTGTGAGCAATGCGAATTATTTTGGCTTTATTGTTTTGTATATATCAAAGATACGCATATCGTTTTGAATTATAGCCAATGAGATGCTGTTTAATTTATAATCTTTACGGTAAACGTGAAACGTTATCGATTTTTTTAAAACTGAAAATGAAAGTTTTTTATTTTTGCTTAAAATGTTCATGAATTTGTTGAATAAAAGTTTTAATTTCTTCCAATTGTTTCCATTCATTTTCAAATGACCGGAGAAGTATTGAACCAGACATTATATTGAACTGGCTGAGCGAAAACTGACGCGAAATAACCAGCTATAATTCGATTTCAGGGTTCCAAAGTGTTATTATATACAAAAGATGTCTTGAACCAAATACTTGGCAATTTCAGCTGAATGTATTGTCTATTTTAAACTCAAATTCTGCCTTACCTAATTGGATGATAATTAAAATCAAGCGTTCAGAAAGACATACATTTATGCGAGCAATTGAATGATGCTTGCATGATTTGATGCGCATCGATTGTGCTGTCGCCATACATTCGGATCTTCGGCAGCGCACGAAGTGCTCCGAACGCACAACGAAAGCACTAGCGATGCGCATCAAATGATGCAAGCCTCATTCAATTGCTCGCATAAATGTATGTCTTTCTGAACGCTTGATTAAAATTCCGTTGAAATAAAAATGGCAAAAAAAAATTAATTCAAACTTGTTGCTGTAAATTTGAATCTTTTTATTTCTGACACATTCAATTCGGTCTGCAGTGAGTGCAAAAATCTTCTCTTTCGTTCTCATGCAAAAAGATTATATCGAAGGTAATGTTTGTCAATTGACAATGATGAAAATCAATTCAGCAATTGCATATCATTTTAAAGCTAAAATTGTAAAGATAAAATTGATGTTACACAAAGCTTCAACTTGTGTTACACAAAACTTAATTCAAATTGGATGCAACTATTTAAAACCAGATGGCGTCGAATTATACTCGTTTGATTCATTATATGATCATCAAAATCACGTTCAATAATTCTCAAAGCCAATTCTGTAGAAATATTAGTCAGTATTTCAAATGAAATCAATTTATATCCTGTTGGTAGATTTTTTCGTATTATTTCTTTGACTAATTGAGCTGAGTTTTTAATAGTGTATTTCGGTTTAAATGATCGACGTAGAATACCTGATCAAAATTTCGCTATAGTTTGTAGCATGCCGAATTTATTGTTGATACCACTGGACGTATTCGAAGGTAATGTTTGTCAATCAATTATTTAGACACAGGAACAACGAAGATCTATTCACAAGTTGCATATGATTTCAACATAGGGGTTTTCATCTCAATCAAAACACTGTGAATATTGCGTATATTCACTGCGAATATTCGCAAAATACGTGCATTCAATGCATGATTCGTAAAGTATGCATAGTATATGTACCATCGAATAATATATATTCGCGAACAGATAAATTCCCCTAGATTTCAACGGTTGAAAAAAGTTAAATTAGTAAGCTTTATTCAAATTGGGTGCGACTATTTGAAACCAGATGGCGTCGAATGAATCTCATTAGATTGGGTCAATATCATAAATAGGTATTACGATGTGATGATAAAAGACTTCTGTTTTGATAAGATAATTGATAACATAATTGAACACATTTTCCTGAATATTTTGAGCAGCCAAACAGTTTAGATTCAGACAATGGATAGTTCACACCAATCAAAATGTAAGTGGTAATAAAATTCAAGTGTAGAATTACTTATAATTGATGTGTTAATAAATATTGGAAATCAAAACAGTGATTTTATTTAGATAAGTGGCCGAAAAATCACTGTAAAAGCTATATTAATTTTGATTATTATCAGACAATATATTTAACTAGCTAGTCAGTTGAGCTGACAGTACGTTAGCCAGCTAAATGGGCTAAAACAATAGACGTTATTGTATTAATGATTAATCACTTTTCTTGTTTTAATAGCAGTGATTGTTCATTAAAACAATAACTTGTATTGTTTTAGTCCATTTAGCTGGCTAACGTACTGTCAGCTCAAATGACCAGTTAGTTCAATATATTGTCTGATTATTATTACTGTCGGTGGCATTGTTTTCAATCTTATCTCTAAAACATATTAAGGTTCAGAGGTACCAAAGCGTGTATTAACAGGCATAATGGGCTTCCTGGCGATCGTTGTGTCATTTTTGATGCGAGGTTGTTTATCGGTTGCAATTACAGAAATGGTGGTACCATTGAATCACACAGATAAAGGCAATGAGGCGATTATTTGCCCAGCTGACACTGAATCCATACAACACAACATCATTTCTACATCGGTCAGTTAAATGTTTTATTTGAAAGAGTCACTTACATAATTCATGTGGTTTTGATATTTTGACATTCAAGACAAAACACAAGAAATTCTATACCAAGTTATCTTATCTAATAAAATTTCAAATCAACGCATTTTATTAGAGTGGAACGAGATACAATTGGTCACAAGAGGAACAAGGCTGGATTTTATCATCGTTTTTTGTTGGGTATTTAGTTACTCATATACCTAGCGCAATTTTGGCTCAAAGGTTCGTATCAGTTTCACAAACGTAATTTTGGTTATGGTTTTTGCCAAATGAATGTACATTAGTACTACTACTAATGCCAACTCTATGCTCAAGTTATACTTGAGAATTCTAAGAAAAGGAACTTACTGTTGTTGAAGGTTTGGTGCAAAGTGGGTTCTGGGTGGTGGTGTTTTGGCAGCAACAATTTGCAATGCAGCTACACCTCTCGGCGTCTATTATGGTAGGTGAAATTAGCCTTAATTCATCAAAACTTTTTCGAGAAATAACAAAAAAAATTCCAGGTGGGATTTGGGCATTGATAACATTAAGAGCTCTGATGGGTGCAGCTAATGGAACAATGTATCCATCGTTAAGTGTTTTACTCTCAGCTTGGGTAAGAACCGTTATTCACTCGATTTGGGCTTCTGGCAATGTTCTACCATGGACCGCACCAAAAGAATTTAAATCTTCCGATTACGGCAACGTGAAAAATAACAAAGAAACTGATAAAACAACCATCGAATTTCAACAAAACAGTTAAAAAAACACGACAATAACAATTTGTGAAATTATTTAGATTCCCGAGAGAGAAAGAGGAAAATTAGCGGCATTTGTTCTGGGTGGTGCCCAAATTGGATTTCTCATTTCGTTTTATGTATCAGCAATAATCCTATCATATTTCTCGTGGCCTGTTGTTTTTTATGTCTGGAGTTTTATTGCTACGATCTGGTTTATAGTGTTTGTAAGCATTAAAAGTGTTTCAGAGAACTTGGATATCTCATTTCGAAATGTTGGCTTCACTTCTAGGCTATTATATGTTCCAATGACCCAGCGTCGCATCCATTCATTTCAAAGGAAGAACTCGATTATTTGGAAACTGAAATCGGTCAACTAAAGCGGCATAAAAGCTTACCACCGACCCCGTGGGGAGACATTTTAACAAGTGTGCCCATAATCGTGCTTATTATTGCCCAGGTAAGAGCTTCATATGTCTTTTTACAGTGACTCACTTTGGAATATTTCTTCAAATTCTTCTGCAATGTTTGAAGGTCACCAGTGATTACGTTTTTTATGTTTTGGCTTCTGATTTGCCGAAATATATGAGAGAAGTTTTGGGATTTTCAATTCAAGACGTTGGTCTCTACTCTTCATTGCCATATGCTTTAATGTGGATTGTGTCACTTGTGTCTGGTTTTCTGTGCGATCATTTAATCAGCAGACAATATCTAACAGTTACACAAACGAGAAAATTGTTTGCCTTTTTTGGTATGTAAATTCAAGAAAGTACCAACCATTTGTGATGTTAATTTTGTTTTTAGCTAGTGTATTCCCTTCAGCGTGTGTCATCGTCGGATCATACGCTGGATGTAATAAGACGTTTGTCGTTATTTGGTTTGCCTTAGCTTTTGGATTTAATGGCAACTATTACAGTAGCTTAAGAGTGAATATATTGGACTTGAGTCCGAATTATTCCGGCTCTGTTATGGTAAGACACTTATAGCAATTCAGACATTTTCTCCTATTGAGCTGTTACGATCGGTATGTAGGCGGTTATAAATGGAATAGCAGCATTGTCGGGCATAGCAGCGCCAACGTTCGTTGGAATGATGATACCCGATTCAACACTTGACCAATGGAGACTGGTGTTCTGGGTTTCGTTTGGCATCTCAATGATAAGAACCGTTATATATACAACATGGTCATCCGCTGAAGTTCAACCATGGAACGAACCAAAAGGATTCAAATCACCTGAATCAGTCGAACTCACCAAAAATAATAACTTTGAAGATCACATAATAAAAGAAATCATGGAATAAACACAAATACGACTATTAATGTAATTTTGCTTTTGATTTGATAGATTTATGCCTGTGTGATGATTTTGAGAAAACGACTTTGTTTCTTATTTTAACCAACCTTATTTTTAAATAAAAAACTATTAAAAACGTAAATATTCATTGTGGGTATTTTTCATGTCGATACTAAAAATAAGAAAAACAGTAGCTTATTCCATTGATAATTGTTGGTAAAATGCCATGTTTGGTATTGCGTTTTTCTGGAGTTTCTATGATATATGTAACACAATGAAAAAAATTACCAGAGATTATATATTTTTTCAAACAATTTTTTAGTCCATTAAAAAGTGTATGCCGGGCACCATGCATTTTTATATCTTTAGCAATAACACCATACATGGGACTAGGAGATGTGAAACAAATATTTGGTTGTCTCAGAGCATTTGCCTCGAAAAACCCTAGCAAATTGAAAGATTTTCTTCTCCAAAAAACCCTAGCAAAATTGAATATTTTCTCCCGTTTTAGAAAGTGAAGAGCAAAAAAAAGAAGGTCTTCACATTTTTCGCGAAAATCCTTAGCAAATCGAAAGAATATTTTTCTCTAAAAAATGACATTTCTAAGGGGTTAATTCCCAAATCTGTTCTCCAAAGGGGGTAATCCAACCCCTCGGACCCCTGCTCAGAAGCTATGTTTGCTAGTATTTTTCCGCAAGAAAGTTAATTTGTTTTACATTTTTGTCTGAACAGAAAAAAAAATCTAGGACAAAACATAATGTTTTTTGACAACATTTTTTAATATGGTTTTTTTATTGTACATTCGAAGCAGATGATTTTTGTGCATTTTATTTAATTTCATTCTCAAAGAATAATTTCTCACAAACCACACGGCTTGTTTCTATCATTCCATATTTTCTTAATTGAATTTAAATTCAAAAATGACTAATTTAAATTCAATAAACTAAAAAAAGTATTAAATTCATTTAAAGTTTTCAAAGATTTCAATGATTTTACAAAATGTACAACTGCATTTTCCAATTTATAACTGTAGAAAAAGATACTAACTGCAGCTTAAAATAGTGTCTGATTTTATGTTCACTAAAAAACAAATTATAAACATTAAAACGGACAAGAATGACCGGTAAAAATTATCGTGTGAGCAGCGGGCGGTGTTCTTCTATTTAGTGAGCTTAATTTTAGTTGTAAAGCAGCATTGTTCGTTTGTGTTATCGTCTTCGTCCTTACGAAGGACCCATCTAATGGTGTATAAACCCTGAAACAATGACTCATCATGTTAAAATCGAATACAAACATTTGATTTTATATATTTTTTCATTTTTTTTTTTGCTGTTCAAAATTACATTTGAACAATTTTTGCACTATTTGTATGGAACGTGACGTTTAAGAAATAAGACACAAAAGTAATTTGAAATACATACTACTGGGAATTTTTTTGCCAACGGTAGGGTATATCTATAGGTGTGTCTGTGTCCTGATTGAATTGGGCATGCTGTATGATTACATGCATTTGTATCCATTCCGGCCATTGGTAAATCACCCTCAGCCGTCACTGAATACACGTGTCCAAAAGGTGTATCCGCATTCCATTCTGCATTAATACGAACACAATCCGAAATATTGAAGAAGAATGAATTTCAACAAGTTTTCAACAAAAAAGCCAAAATCAAGTATTGAAGATCAGTTTCGAAGAAGTTACTTACGCGGTGTTACGTCAAATTCTATTGATGCAGATGTGCCACGTTTCAATTTGCATGGTTTTTCCTGTTTAGATTCAGGACACGGTACGACTCGCACTTCGTGTACAGTACAGTCGGCTGAGAGAATAGTAGAATGTGATATAGTAAAATATTGTTTAATTATGATGGTTGTTATTATTGTGTAGATGTATGATTTGTCGACGTTGAGAGTGATAGATTGAATAAGCCAGAGAACGAGAGAGAGAATACGAAAGCGGAGATAAATTGAAGTGAGAGAGATGTTTAAATTGTGTCGCTTTTTCTATGTTGATAGAGAATTCAGGATTAAAATAGGTCATGATGCGATAACCTTCTACTCTCAAACCTCGCAGGCTATTTATTGTTCGAAAATGAAAGTATAAATTGTAATAACTGCGAATGAAATCGAGAAAGTTATAATTACTTATATATAATTCATGTGGCTTTTGTCGATATTTCGTGTTATTACATTATTACACAACTTAAATCTTAATTTAAACTTTTTCAAACTATTTAAACCAAATAAAATAAAATGATTATGATAATGGGCAAAAATGCAATCAAAATTTCGTAGTTTATCAACAATATTCAGATGTACTCTAATAGAGATTTTTAAAGTAAATTTATGCAAAACATTTATTAATGTTTACAGTCGTAGTTACAGTCAGTCATCTATTTTCTAATTGCAAACTTATTGAAATAGTTTTTCAGGTTTATGATAGAATGTGTCGAAAATGAGAAGAACATCTTTCATAATTACCTTGAGCACTATTTTTACACTCTGCAGAGAAGTGCACGTTCTCAGCATTTGAAATGCACACCAAGCACGCAAAACACAAAAAGAATGAAATCGAAAATAATTTGTTAGTTGTCATAGTGCCCTCTTATTTCTTCGATTTCCACTCGAAAATCTTTCACCAAAATTATTTAACCGTACTTTTCAATTGAGAATATAACTAATTCCCTCTTTGCCACCTCCAAATTCGCTTTGTTTTAGTGTAGACTGAAAAGAAGTTTATAAAAAAGAAATAATTTTAATTTCAATTATACTAAACGGGAAGAAAAAAAAACGGAGCGTAATTAAAATATGTATGTTATTGAGAGTGGCGTTAAATGTTTTGACTGTCGTCGTAGTTTTGGAAAATGAAATGAAGTGAATGTTTCGCTAATCGACGTACGAATGAAGCAAATAAATAGGCGACCCGTTTAGAGTTCAGGGTTATCTTTGAAAACCAAACACAAAGCGAATGAAATACATTCTGTTGTGAACACTCGAGCCGAACACATCGTTGTAAGAGTAAAATCAAATTGGAATAAATTTAATTCAAAATCATCCGTGTCAGTTTATAACTTATTACAATTTTGATTTTTTTCCACATACATATTAATCGGATACATTCCAATAATTACAAACATTTCGATTTCATCGGTTCATTTCTATTGAGTATGGCTACGAGATGCAGATAGTGGGACAAATTTCGAAACAAAAATACACAAACATATACACAATGAAATCAAAACAAAAAACATTATGCGAGATTAGTCAGACGACAAGTATTGCGTTTGCTATATTGTCTGTCTATTCATGGAAGGAATGACACGAGTTTCGTTGTTGCATTATTGGACTTTGTTCAATCGACAATCTCTGCAGGCCCAATATACATTAGCCAGAAATGGTAAATAGTTGTTTTTATTAAAATTAATCTGACTAAAATGACTAAAAACGAGTAAATTTGACTAAAATCGATTTAAGTTAAACAAATACGAATGGACTGAGAAAAAACAGTACCATTTCATGCAGTGCTAAAAACCCTTTTTGCTAGTGTTTTTGAGAAAAAATGTCTTAGGTTTTTGATTTACTAAATATTTAAGAGAAAGAGTACTCAAAAGCCACCATTTTTCCGCGAAACTTTTCTACATAACATTTTTCCCTTGGACCCCCTCATATAGACTTAATGGGTTGTCTGTAGCGCAATTTGATTTTCTTATAAATATCGTAGGGGCGTATTGCTGACGCAAAGCAAAAGTCCCGGTCATTTCACTCGTTATTCCAGCACCAGCGATAATACCTAATGTACCTGAGTGAGGCTGTTAACAGGCAAATCGGATTGGAAAAACATCTGAGTCGATTGGAATTTCATCAGGCATTTCTATGAGAGCAATATCGCTATTGAGTGAAGCACACGGTTTATAAGTACATCAATACAATTTAATTCAATTATTTCGAATGGCACTTACTTTCTAAGCAGATAAGGATTGTACTCCGGATGAGTAAATGCGTAGCGTTGTGGGACTGTTTGGTTGTGACGAGTTGAATCGCTGAAAAGTTTTAAAGTCCACGAAATGATAAAATGCTCAATATTCGAACTGTTAACGCAATGAGCAGACCATATGTCAAGGGCATCTTTTCCGTTTATAATTGCATAGGTAGTGAGTGCAGCAATTATCACAACCAAAAATATAGCTAACTTTACATTGAACATTTTAATTCGGTTTATTCTATTTTTTCCCTGATTCCACATCTTTTCGAGTACACAACACACCTGCTATAAAATAATAAATTTTAAATATCGATTTGAACAATATATTCACTTGAGTTGTTGCCATTTAAACAAATAAAATGCATAATTGTCTGGAAAATTGCACAATGACTGCATGGTTTCACACCTTCAGACCAGAAAACAGTAATAATTGCTCAAAGATTACGTAACTTTTGACCATTTGTCGATTATTAAACAAAAAAAATCAATAATATTTTAGCATCAGTTTTGTAAACTTGTAGATTGATCATCAGTGTTCTCTTGAATAATAAAAAAAAGGCCAAGTCTTTAGATAGTCATTGTGTGTAAAAATAAAAAAAAGTTATTTAACTCAGCTCTATGCTCAAAAAATCGAACACATTTTTTGAACTAGCCAAATAAATACGTAAGTACTAATAGTCCAGGACTATCATGGGCAAAAGTTCGTGTTACTGCTGTAAAAGTCTTTATTTCTATCCAATTTTAATTGAATTCATTTCTAAATATAAAAAAATAAAATATTTGAATTTATTTTGAATTTTTAACGTATTCGAAGGTATTAAAGATGAATGGAAACGAAAACAATATTGCGCTAACAGCAATAGAAAAAATAAATTTTCCGTTGTAATCTTGAATTACGCAGAATATTAAATGCATAATATATGTTCGATTGTAGCCGTACCGAAATTATGCTCAAAGTGTCACACAGCTAGCGCCACGATGGAATTCAATGTAATCTATACTAAGTTTCCGCCAACTAGTGAAAAGACTTTTGCTCAGTTACAAACAACTGCCTAGAACTCCATAGTTGTCCGTAGTGGCGCTAGCTGTGCTATAGTTTTGCATTTTATACAGTCTCTTATGGAACATAATTGCAGTGCGATTGTAGCGGTCCGTAGCTCTGCGACTCTAAGTTAATATGTATGCGTATCGATGCATACAGCTTCACACAAACTTATACAGATATAATTATTGTGCATTTTGAAGCGACATCGTTTTATGCTTCTACAGGATAATCCAGTTCTAACGCCGTAGTTTGAAGTACTTAAATGACCAATTGAAAATGACATATTCGAAACTCAATTATCAAATAGTAATATTTCGCATGAAATTTTGTTTTCCACAGTGAATAAAAATGTGTAAAAACAGCGAAACATCGGTTTAATATGATTGTTTTCAAAAGAAAATAAAAAAACATCTTCAATCGAACACATAGCAAACATTCACAATTTGACACTTAGCTTAAGTATATGCTAACGTTGTGGTTTATACAAAAATATGAAAACACCGCTAAAACGTCAAAGTTAATAGAACAGCACGAGAACGTTGAACAAACACATCGTGTGAATACATTTATCTTAACATCATCGAAGTGTTATTTCCAAGCAAAGGTTTAGATAAATACAAATCCGTCAAAATGAATGACTATATTCAAAACAAGTCACGGATTGAAAATGTTCACGATAGAATCAAAATGAAAGTTGAGGCGCATTTGATCCGACAATTTTGTGTCGCCAAAGAGTTCCATCAGAATGCGGCCACCAAAATAACTGCCATCGATTTTTCATCAAGCGGTGAACATTTGATTTCATGCAATGGTGACGATCAAATTTTTATCTACGATTGTGAAAAAGCCGTCCAAACTTGTAACATCAATTCAAGAAAATACGGCGCTGATTTTATCCATTTCACACGCGATCAGAATGCTGTAATTCACAGTTCAACAAAAGTTGATGATGCCATCCGTTTGTTGTCATTGAAGGACAATAAATATTTATGGTATTTTCCCGGTCATACAAAAAAAGTGATTTCATTATGCGTTTCACCAGTCGACGACTCATTTTTGTCCGGATCCATTGACAATACGCTACGATTGTGGGATTTACGTACGAAGAATTGCCAAGCAATTTTGCGATCACCAGGCCGTACAATCGCTGCATATGATCCGGATGGTTTGGTTTTTGCAGCCGGTATGAATTCGGAAATGATCAAATTATATGACTTAAGGTCATTTGATAAAGGACCGTTTGAGACGTTCAATTTAAATACCAAAAGCGAATGGACTGGTTTGAAGTTTTCCAAAAATGGAAAAACCATCCTCATCAGTACCGCTGGCCAAATAATCCATATGATTGATGCGTTCGATGGTGTTCGACATGCTCCACTCAAAAATTTCATCGGTTAGAACACTTTTTTTATTTATTTCATTTCAATTGCTACTTCAATTTTTCCAAATCAACTTTTTAATATTCCTAGGTCATTCAAACTATATGAAACTTCCGATTGAAGCATCATTCAGTCCCAATTCACAGTATATTTTTGCTGGCAGTGATGATGGACGTATACACTGCTGGGATGCCGATACGGGTTTTAAAGTGTGCGCACTCAATGGTGGACAAGGACAAACAACTCCGGTACAATGTGTTCAATTCAATCCAAAGTTAATGATGTTGGCGAGCGCTTGCAAAAACGTGACATGGTGGTAATTATAAAAAACATGGTGGTAAAAATCCACGAAACAGTCTCTGAATAAATCAATTCAACTTATTTTTTTGCAGGTGTCCAAGTTTAGAAGATCCAACACAATAGGCGTCAACAATGTCACGTTTTGGTACGATATCATTTGATCTAAAAACACTAGATATCATCAAAAATTCTAAAGAACAAAAATTGAATGTGAAAAAGTGTCGATTCACCATTTATTTTTATTTTACAAAATTTATGCATTTTACTTATAATAAGTGTGCTGTATTGTTATGTCGAAACTCTTGTTGCAACGACGCATCGATCAATGCACATACGAAATAATTCCATTTGACTCAATTGTAGAAAAGTAATTATTTTGCGCATGCTTCTATTTCATTATTTCAATGTAAATAGGTGAGACCTGTTTATAGATCTCGGTACAAAGCTTGAAAACACGCGTGTCACATATGAATCGTTGCGATGAAGAAATAGTTCTTATTTTGTCTAAAATTTAACATATATTTTTTTTACTTTATTTCTTCGCCGTAAAGTTTCTGTGTAAATTTAAAAATAGTGATAAGGCTAGTCCCTCCGAAAGCATTGTGCATTCGTCAAAAATTCATTTCCTATTTCGGTCAATGAATAAACATATTATTAAGACAATTCATATTATAACTCGAATTCGTACGGCTTGATAATATGCATTGAATGAAATAAAATTGATAATAAATATTCATCAAATCAATTGGATAATTCATGATGAAAACAAAGCAGACAAAAATGCAACAAATTATCGCATGACATATTTGTATTCAAAGTGGATTCATTCAAAAAACGACGAATCTATTGAAATGATAAATATATAAGAAAACGTATCCTAGCCAATTCGAATGTCATCTTTAATAGTAAAATAATATAACAGATCCTTTTTTCAGTTTTTAGTTTAATTGACAAAATTCCATTAAAATCATTTGAAATATCATTTTAAAAAAATCCGGAACATATTTCTTATCACAAAAAACACCAACAATATTTTATATTCAAACACATATTTTGTTCTGTTCATTTATAAAATTGCATATTAGAACTCAATAATGCTCATTTCATATTTCCAATAATTTATTTTCATATTTCCAATATTTTTTTCAATATTTCTTTTTATCTTTTCGAATAAAATATTGCATAAAAAAGAAATATTTTTTATTTTGTATACAATCAATTTATATGTAATAATACAGATTTAACTAAGTAAGTATGTTTTCTGGTTACAAAGCAGGCAAATAAATGAATTTCATTGGATTTGCAAAAAATTTCTTATATTTATAATTTGTTCAATCATACAAACAATTGCGCCATACCAAAGGAACATCATTTATTTCGTATATAATTCTCCATATATTGTGAACGCTGCTTCATCATAACAGACATGTGAATCTGTTGAATTGTGTCTCAATCACACGTGTATTCGAAGTTCCCTACTGACAAATTGCTTAAAAATGTTTGTTCGAAATAATATTAATAATAATTTGGATACAAAAAAACCACAATTGAAAAACGTTAAAATCTTTCATTTTTGAAAAAACAAATATAATTTTCCAAAATATCTTATTCAATTGATTTGACATTGAAATGGAGAAAAAAAACATCAACGTCCGTTTTGTCATTAGGGCCAAGCAAATAGCAATGTGTTTGTTTCCCGCTAAATTTGTTTTGATTCTTTCGATGTATTCAGTGTTTACAACACACATGTCAAATCAGCTGCTTCTTCTCTTAAACTTGACATTTGGTGTATTTTCATTTTAGATATTTTCTGTTTATGTCAAAATAAACATCTTTGTTGAGAGATATCCACCTTTATTCACAATTTAAAAAAAATGTAAGTCGTGAGTAATACTCATTGAGTATGAATGTATGGTCGCATTGTTTGTGCAATTGATTTGAACCGTTTATTTTGTTTACACAAAATGTTTCACAACTTGTTGCCAGAGAAATTAAAATAGTATGCGTAAAGGAAAGCAATCTGTATGTGTGTTACTCATATACAACAAATATCGGCGAAAGTATACTTATATTCAATATAAAAATAGAATAAATTTTTGATTTTCGCTTAGGTTGGATTTGAATCATATGATGTCAGTATCGTTTGTGATTCCGAGTTGATTTTAAGCTAATTTAAGTTGAGTGCGAATTGAAAGCGACCATTTAGCTTTAATTTTAGATACAATTACGGTGTCGACAACATCCAACAAATGTGCGGTCGATGAAAAAGTCGCATCAAGACAGAGAAATTATTTAGTGAAAAAGGTAAAAATCATCGTTCAAAGTGATAAAATGTGAAGTGAATGAACTAGTAAATAACTTATTTAAAATAAGTTATGACTAATGTGTGCTATTGTACTATTTATTGTTTTAAAAAGTTGCGCGCATAGAAAAATCGATGATTTTTTATGACAATATAAAGTAATTGTGTTATCGATTTGATACATTGTGGAATTGCTTCAAAATCTATTCAAACAAACATTCCATATTTTAAGTATCGTGGTATTTATTTTCAATTTTAATCACAAAATCACATTTCAATGGATGACGCCATCAAAACTCTTTCATTTCGTTGATCGATTACACTTTTTTTCGTAACGCAGTGTAGGCAATAAAAATAAAACATTTGTCGTCACATCGCACTGTAAACACAACTGAATCATTAGTCATTTTGATCGGAAAGAATGTGATGCGCGTCGCATGTTAATTGGTTGTGATTCTTTCGGCTATTTGGAATAAATGTGGCCATTTTTACTCACTTTTTAAGCACAGTTTTGCGACTCACGAATATTTTTGGTTTACAGTAGAATATCAATGACCTATTTGTTTTATTTTTATTTTAATCACAGGAATTAATTTCTGTATACTTTCGTGTGAAACGAATCAAGGCAGTATGGAAACGGATAACTCTAGTAAGTCAATCACAAATGATTTGTTTGAAAATGAGTGTTTTTATAGAATATTCCATTTCTCTTGTTTCGTAGAAGAAAAGAATGATTCAAATGGAACAAAGAAAACACCACCGAAAGCTATGAAAAGTAAAGCAAAATTAATTTCGCCTCAGTTACTGGCCTGCAAAATTGAGACGAACACAGTTGAAATGCCGCCAGCGTTGAGACAACGTCACATTCAATTGCAGGCGCTGCAAGCATCTAGATCAAGTGCTGAATTATTTGTGCCACAACCGGTTACAATTCAAACGGTGCAGAATGATTTGCGGCATCGCGGAAAGAAAGCGGTCGTTGTGGACGATATCAATCAATCTAGTTCAAATGGCGCTTCTACATCAGATGATGACAGCAGCTCCGATGAAAATCGACACTTTGAATCGTATTTGGTAATCGAATTTTCGCCCGATATTCAGAAGAAAACATTACATTGGATCGTCGACAAAATTCGAACGAAAACATCCAAAGGCGGTGCTGGTTTACTGATAAGAAGAGAACCTCAAACGAAGTAAGATCAAACTGAACGTTTTTTTTAATTACACAAAGTGTGTATTTTTTCACATTAATTTTCAATTTTGATCTTCAATAGTCCACATCGGGGCCTAATCGTTCATGTGTCGGCAGAAAATTGTAAATTCTTACAAATTGCTGATGAATTGGAGCTCATGAAACCAACACGAAGTGGGGTTATCAAAAATTTCAACATTTCATGCCTAGACCATTTTTTCATAGATGACAACATGGCGATTGATAATGTTCTTACACTAGCAGACCGTCAAATGCTCATAAAACATGCTGTAGACAACATTAAAGCCACTGAAATTGAAAAATTCATTCCAGGTTATGAAAATTTGTTGCTATACCATGGTCAGTCTATAATAAATGCACTAGCTGAAGAGGGACTTATTGTTAACATGTTAACATTACGAGACACAGTTGAGTTACATGAAAAGAATTCCTTTCAATATCGATTTAAATGGGTTTGCTTCGTATCATTTCAGGAATACTTGAAAAAACTCAAACCATGGTATTCGAAGTCATTTAATTGGCAACCACTCAATCGAGTTCGAGACTATTTTGGTGAAAGTATTGGTATTTACTTTGCTTTCGTAGGTAAATACAACTCATTTCATCTAACAGACGAAAAATGTTATTTACAAAATTATTATTATTATTATTTATTTACAAAAATTATCGATAATTTTTTTTTTTTTCGAATAAATTCCAGAATATCATACCATAGCTCTCATTGTTCCAGCAATATTAGGAATATTCCAATGGTATTTGGCTGGCAGTTATGTGCCATATTTTTGTGCATTTTATGTCATTTGGATGATGGTATGTTCTACTTTGCATTTATTTATGGGGGAAAAAAGCTTATTCGAATTAATTTTTTAGCTGTTTCTGGAAATATGGAAGCAAAAATGTTCGGGGCTGGCCTATCGCTGGGGCACAATAACAATGACAAATCTCGACATACCACGAATCGGTTATTATGGAAAAATTGGCAGAGATCCAGTGACGGGAAGGCGTCAACCAATGTTTCCCATGTGGAAAACGTATGCCCGAATGTATTGCGTCTCATTGCCGTTGATCATTATTTGCATGTTACCAGCGGCATTTTTTGCGCTGACGCAATTTTGGCTAGAAGATAAAGTATTCGCCATTGTTGGTCCCGATTCGTATTGGTTGTATTTGCCATCGATTGTCGAATCGATAATCGTTATTCTATTTTCGTTTTTATACGAAAAACTCGCAACATGGCTAACAGATCTCGAAAACCATCGTACACAAGCGCAGTATGAACGACACAGGTATATTTTAAATATATTTGCTAATCACAAACGATCATTAATTGTAATTTTGATTTCAATTTCCCAATATTCGAATAGAGTTATAAAATTGATTCTGCTGGAATTTGTGAATAACTTTTTGTCGCTGTTCTACATTGCATTTTACCTTCAGGATGTGAAACTTATCAGCAATCAATTGATGACGCAATTGCTCGTTTTTCAGGTAAGATCAAATGAATTGTGGTGATAAATGAGAGTTTAAATGATCTTGTTCCTTTAGATTGCACAGAAGTTTACTGGAACATTATTGCCGTTAATAATGCCGAAGATCTATCGACTGAAAGATTCATTCATGGGTGGTTTGACATTGGTATATTGATATTTTTACATTAAAGGTTTTTCTTTCTTACCAAAACTCACTTCCAATTACGATTAGGTGGCGAGGAACGAGTATGATGACTTGAATATCGTACACTTATCCAGAGATGATGAACGAATAAAACAGAACGAAGCTGAAAGTACACTGCTCGAATACAACAGCACATACGAAGATTATTTAGAAATGTAGTGAAGGAAAATAAGATAAAGAGTGTATATGTACTAACGCCACTGTTTCTTTTTTTAGGTACATTCAATTCGGTTACGTTGTATTATTTGCATCAATTTCGCCATTCTCTGCAATTGCAGCTCTCATTAACAATATCATTGAAATGCGAATCGATGCATATAAACTGTGCTGTGTGTTTCGACGACCGTTTGCTAAACGAGTAAAAAATACGGGTGCTTGGCTATTAGCATTTGAAGCGATGATTGTCATGTCAATTATCACAAATTGTGGTTTACTCTATTTACAACCTGAAATTCGTGATTCACCGCGGCCCAAAGAACATATTGTCATGGAATTTGTTGTGGTTGAACATATTTTGCTGGCGGTAGCTTGGGCCTTAAACAAAGGAATACCAGACCGGCCGCTGTGGGTGAGAATAGCTCTGGCTAAAGCCGACTATGAATCAAGACAAGCGGTCAAACGAGAAGTAAATATACGAAGAAAATTTACACATTCCACCAAATAATAAAAAATGTGATACTTTCTTAATGCACTTGATGATACTTAACCGTATTAATACTGCTTTAGACTAACAGTTAAATTTAAAAGGTAATTTTAGTTTTATGAAGTAGATTAATCAAGATATTAAATACTAAACCACTTTAATACTATCTAATAAATACAAGGCAAAATGACTTAAAATGTCCATCGACAATTCTTTTTCTATTTTAGAACGCTCAACTTACCAGGAAAGTACTGTTTCGGCGATTCTATAGCCTTCGCGGGCGAAATAAAGCCGACTGAACGATATACGATCATTTATACGACCAGCAATTGAATATGAACACATATTTGTTATATTGGAATCAACAAATGCTTGCAACCCTAATTTTTTAAGCAAATTTTAAGCAGATGTTCATAAGCGTGTATTATATTTTGAAGAATTTAATATCTATGGATTGTTTCACTTAGTAAACACAACTCAACCATGGAATATTTTAAAAATGTGCAATTTTCAGGTGAATTTTGGAGAAGACCTTAAACTTCTTGTGGGAATAATATTATTTCATTATTTTTAATATTCATTCAATAAGATTGGTGGCACGTCGACTGATTTGAAAATAGTCTGGCTAACGATAAACATTTGAAGTCATATTTAAACAATTAAACAGTGATATTAGATAACTGTAGCAAATTTGATCGATCGGTACTCAAATTAGTTGATTGGCTGACGTCATATTCACATTGAAAAATTTAGCTCGGTTATTAATAGACTTTATTTACTCAGTTATTTTTATTGGCTCCAATTTTCATGTTTTACAGGTATTTAATTTAATCGCATTTCAAATTGAGAAAGGATTTGAGATAAGATCGGATCTTTTTATTGTTCGAAACAAGAAAGAATGTGTTATATTACTAATTTAAACATTTTTAAATATATTTTTAATTTGCAAAAAAAAAATCCCACGTAAAACATCGTATGGAAACAATAACATGTCAAGGCTATCTGCTGTGCGCAAAAACCATATAAAATAAATAGAAATAAAATAATTTCCACATTTTTTATACATTTATTGAATTGATAAATAAAAATGCAATACAGTTCTAATATGTTTAATCGTGTTTAATTTTCTGTTGTTACGCAGTTTATGCCATCCCACTTTTGCAAAGTAATATATTCGTCACTTTTGATTTCAGATGTGAGCGAATGCCGGTCTTGTCAATTTTATGAAGAACGTCATCAATTTCCTGTTGAAGTATCTGATGCTCTTCCTTTGTTTTCAATAAATAATAATTTATCCGTGAATCTTTGAAAGGTCTGCATTCGACAATTAAATTAAATTTTTGATAATGTCTTCATTTTGAACAGTAAAATCTTTGAAAAGTTACTAAATTTTTGAGTTTGATAAATTCATCTTTCGATTTCATATGATGTCGATTCAAATTGGTTTGTTGTTTTGCCAAAACCGAATAATATCCAAGCGTGGTGTTCAAATATTCGTCGGTTATACATATCGTAAAGTTTGAGATAAATGTCATTATTTTTTCCAATCTCTCTTCACTGTCCGAATTCATTTCAGAAGTCATTTTCAAGAGATCTCAATCATAACCAAAAATTGGTACTTTTAACGAATTCAATAAGCTATCACTTGCAGTCACAACTTGTGTGATCTCATCAATGAACGCCTTCTCTTCATTCGACTTGGCTCGGAATGTTGTGCGATTTACATTATTACGATAGTTCATCAACAAAACTTATGCTTCAGAGCGCTTTACCCAATGATTGCGTCAAAATCTCAACTTTCTATTGACAACAAAACAATCATCTTCAAAGCAGTTATACGACCGATACTCTCCTATGGGTGCCCAGTATGGTCATCGGCCGCTAACATACACATTAAAAAGTGCAATATTTTACAAAATAAAATAATTAAACTAATTTTTAATTTACAAAGAAATTAAATATACAAAAAATTGCGGAAAATCGAAGATTTCGATATTTCTGATTCCGGATATTGAAACTGTATGGTATACTTCCAAACGGTTTGCGGTACACCTTTGGTACAGAAAATATAGCCATACAACACAATTCTTTTTTCATGTGCGGACATTTGACTAGTCATCCGCTTTTTGCTAACTTTAATCGACTCTATTCACTTCTAGTTAAATTATTTTGATTAAAACTGAAAAGCAACATTGTGCAAGTGTCTAACTATTGTCAATGGACTCCGTTGAACTATACTATCTGTCACTCAAAAAACTCACTTCATAAAAAATCAAAATTTCGGCCGATACCAGCATTAGGGTGCGTCGATTTTTTATTTTTGAAAATGAAAAAAAACGGCTAGTGCGGCTTTTGTAGACCTGGTCGAGAGTAACATTTTTTGTTCTGGCACTTTGGCCTACACCCCCCTCATTTTCACCCCGCTCGATTTAAAGTTCGTAATTTTTCAAATGAATTTTTTTCAATAAATTTGTATGAAAGTGAATTGGTTTTAGTATTGTTGTAGATAGTATTAGAGGAGCTCTATAAGATAGGCCCATCACAAAAATGCACTTTTCATTTTTTAGGAAAAAAAGTTGCAACGAAATCTTTTTTCGCCCATCGATTTTCAAAAAAGTCATCTAAAACATATGCTTCCATCAATATTTTTGCTCAAAATTCATGTATTTTTGAATTCCGCATGCCCAATTTACTAAAGCACCATGAATCGCCACAAAACTTTTTCCTGCAAACTTTTTTTCAGAACTCATTCGTCAATCAGAGCATTGGGTTTCATACAAAATCTAAAAATTTTCGCTTAAATGTTCACACATCGACTTGAAATTTTACACGGAACTGGGATTTGATGAAAAATGACTAAAGCCAAAAAATAATTACATTCAGTTGTTGTCTTGTTGACTAGAATTATGTTTAGTATATGTCAACAAAATGAATTTTTGTTTTTTCATTCGGAACCATTACACTAAACACATCCTGTTTATATTCTGGTATTAACTAGTAATTATGATGTACTCTATGCCACGTATTCATATTTTTCATTTTTGTCACTTTTTGCACTTTGCTGTATCTTCAAAATGTAATCCTAGCAAAATGGCGCCCTGGAAATTATATTTTTGTCAAATTTTCTACATTTTTTTGTGTATATTGACGTTAATTTGTTTTAAAATACAATATAACGTCTCCACGATGGATTTTATACAGATATTTTTGGTCGTGTTTCCGCTGAGATTATAATCATTCCTAAAAAAGTGGAAATTTGGTAAAAATTTAGTAATTTTGGGTAGTTTGAGAATACTTTGACCCAAAATCAATATAAATCCTCAAGATTCACATGATTAAAAAGATTTCAATTTTTATTTAGTCAAAATCATGGACATTTTTCACCTCAAACTGATAAAAAATAAAAATTTGGCTAAAAATTTGGTCATTTTCGCCAAATTAAATAATTTCAACTAAATTTTCAAATTTAACAACACCTTTTCGACCAGAAAATAAAAAAGAAGGATATTATATTGTATTTTAAAACAAATAAACATGGGGCGGAAATGAATGAGACGAAATTTTCTCTCTCATGGGCGCAGCCATATTGAAAATTTTGTATGCGCTTATATGTAAAATTGGTGGCGCCACTGGTATATTTGATGGAAAAAGAAGAACATGTTTGAGTCTCACTCGTTTATATGTAAATTACATAGGCATTTCCAGGCCATGCAAATAAACGTCAATATACACAAAAAAATGTAGAAAATTTGACAAAAATATAATTTCCAGGGCGCCATTTTGCTAGGATTACATTTTGAAGATGCAGCAAAGTGCAAAAACTGACAAAAATGAAAATTATGAATACGTGGCATAGAGTACATCATAATTACTAGTTAATACCAGAATATAAACAGGATGTGTTTAGTGTAATGATTCCGAATGAAAAAACAAAAATTCATTTTGTTGACATATACTAAACATAATTCTAGTCAACAAGACAACAACAGAATGAAATTATTTTTTGGCTTTAGTCATTTTTCATCAAATCCCAGCTCCGTGTAAAATTTCAAGTCGATGTGTGAATATTTAAGCGAAAATTTTCAGATTTTGTATGAAACCCAATGCTCTGATTGACGAATGAGTTCTGAAAAAAAAGTTTGCAGGAAAAAGTTTTGTGGCGATTCATGGTGCTTTAGTAAATTGGGCATGCGGAATTCAAAAATACATGAATTTTGAGCAAAAATATTGATGGAAGCATATGTTTTAGATGACTTTTTTGAAAATCGATGGGCGAAAAAAAATTTCGTTGCAACTTTTTTTCCTAAAAAATGAAAAGTGCATTTTTGTGATGGGCCTATCTTATAGAGCTCCTCTAATACTATCTACAACAATACTAAAACCAATTCACTTTCATACAAATTTATTGAAAAAAATTCATTTGAAAAATTACGAACTTTCGTAAATCGAGCGGGGTGAAAATGAGAGGGGTGTAGGCCAAAGTGCCAGAACAAAAAATGTTACTCTCGACCAGGTCTACAAAAGCCGCACTAGCCGTTTTTTTCATTTTCAAAAATAAAAAATCGACGCACCCTAACCAGCATACTGAACCCAGAAATCTGTTTAAATCACAGTGGAATGATTTTTGGGTTCAAATTAACCGAAATATCGGTTGAAACTTAAAATTTGAGAATTTCAATGAGACTTGAATCTGTATTTCAAGTCTGTATTCGATGACAACAAAATGAAGTCTCCTTTGAGTCACGCATATTGTAGCTGAATAAAATTGGCAATGTAGTAGCACAAAAACACAAAAAAAAATCCAATCGATTATTCTCGCATTTTCGATAGAAATACCGCAAAAATAGGAAAATTTTACACTGCACCGTGAGCCTTGAACTTCCAGAACACTTTGGGCCAGGTTGGATCCACCTGCTTCATAGGATTCACTTCCAGAACAAATGGTAGTCATTAAAATCCTTCCAACTTAGTTATGCGGTTGGCATATGTAATGTTATCGTTTTCCAATTTTATAATCAAATTATTTATTCTTCTTTTATAATTATTATCTGCTTGTTTGAAGTTGGGAACAAAATAGGTGTGAATAATGTTGGAATCACCAAAACAAAAGCCTATTGGATCGTCAAAACATAGTTATACATGATTGAAGTTTTAATATTTATATTCATTTATTTGGCCGTGTAAATTTAATAATTTTTTTTATCATCAATTTTTTGTTCTTATAAATCACTCTCATTTTAGTAATCAATAAGAATCTGTGTTCAGTCTGTACAGAAATTAATATGGACGAATGACATTCAAAGCATACAAATTGGGGTGGCCCAAAAAATTGTTTTTGCCATATATCGAAACATATATTTCTTGTTTATACATAAAAGAGGATAGTGCTATTCGACGATGTTATATCGGTCTGTGTTTTCCTTTCAGTTGCTCATAAGTTAAAGTGCCCATTTAAAATGGTTTTGGTGAGCAATTGCTTTACTTTTTTTAAAGTTCTGTCGTATTCTTTTTGAAATGGATTCGTTTGTCCCGGAACGACTCTTTTATCGGTGTTTCTTCTTCTTGCAACAAGTTCTGAATGTTCGTTGAATGTTTGACTCACTTTAACAAGCGCGTTGCTCAATGCTTTCAGTTGACTTTTAGACAGTTCTCCAAGATCTACGGCATTAGTAGCCCCTACAAGCGCGTTTAATATTGTTGTTGGACAATCTGGAATTCCTTGCATACTATCTAACCCATTGTTAATACAATTTATAAGATACTGTTCCATTTCTCCTGCAGCGTCACCAAAAGTGATAAACTAAATGGAAAAGAAGAGAACAGTCAAATAATCTCGCAGAATAACATATTTTCTTGGAAATTAAAAATAGCTTGGTATAATTTTGAAAAAAATATTTATAAAATAAGTTCTTAATAAGTGAATTAATAAAATTACCATTGAGGCAGCGCAGAATAAGATCACGAAGAACTTCATTTTATTTTTCTTGATTGTAAATTGATTCAAAACAAGAGGTGTACTGTATTCTTCCGATGTTGGAATGGGATTATAAACAAAAGTTTTCGAGAAAAAAATGACGTTGTTTCTTTTGTTTTATCATGAAAATAGAATTTGTTATTTTTTTTGTATAAAAAAGCACTCTGGAATTTTTTTATCCATCTGCGATCAGACGGTTAATAATCATATATTCATAATGAATGAGTGGGTAAAAAAATGTCTCCTCATCGAAGTCACGTACTCATCAAAATACTTTTCATAACTCGTTCTTTTGTTTTAAATAAACGAATAACCGACAACAAAAAAATGTAAGTCAGAGAAATTTTTTTTAATCTCATTTAATGAACAATGACTAAGTAAGCAAATTCTTAATCATTCTTAAATCGAAAAATGGAAATATTACAAGTCAACACACAGTCTGTGTGTTTTCAATTTAAATCATTTCAAAATATTATCAAAATACTGTACATTTTGATAAATATAGAGGATATTCCATGGAAAAATAATATATTTCGTCTTTATTGATTTCATATAATTCATGGAAACGTACCAAAACCCAATCGAACAAAAAAAAATTGATTCCTAGATGTTGTTGTAATAAAAAGAACCTTTGGTTTTACTGTTGATAGGTTTCTGCTCATACGTATTTCGGATGTATCAGTTTGAATATTCGAAGTTCGAAAATGAGATAAGAGTCAACTTCATGCTAATCGCACAAAATACGAGAATTATGACATTTCAATAGACACAGTGTCAACAGTCAATCAAAACAATATCAGGCGCATAAACGTTTTTAGTGAATAAAGAGTGTATCATCAAAATACAAAACAACCAAAATCAATAATTTAAATCGTAAAGTAAGTCAAGTTTGAATTTTTACTTGGAAAACATGTCTGAACCAAACAAAGAAGAAGAAGAAATTGTTGAAAATGAGAATGTAGACAATCCTGAATTGAATGAGGTTTGTTTTATTCATGTTAAATTGTATTAATTTCTTAAAAACTAAATAGTTTTTGTCATTGTAAAATGGTTTTGTGTCATTTAGTTTGATGACGATGGTGAGTTGGCCGATCCACAACTTGGTTCAACGACCACTGGACGCAAAAGATTGTTTAGCAAAGAGTTACGGTGTATGATGTACGCATTCGGTGATGATCAAAATCCATATACGGAAAGTGTCGATTTGCTGGAAGATTTAGTCATTGAATTTATTACTGAAACAACGCACAGGTAAACAAAAACAAAATAAAATATAAGAAAACTTTAAATTAATGTGGTCGTTTTACAGAGCAATGGAAATTGGACGAACGGGACGTGTACAAGTGGAAGACATTGTGTTTTTGGTGCGAAAAGATGCACGCAAATATGCACGTGTAAAAGATTTGCTGATGATGAACGAAGAGCTGAAAAAGGCTCGAAAAGCATTCGACGAAATCAAATACGTTGGAAGTGAGGGAAAATTAAAATAAAACACACATTTCTATGCGTATTCATCAATTTCATCTCTGTCTCTCTGGGTTGGCTGTCATTTACATCAAAAGCATCGCTTTCATTCATCGACTGATAAAACAAACAAAACATTCTATTTCAACAATTTACATCGATCATGAAATACTCAAGTTTGATAGAATTTACAAATGTATTACATTGGGTCATTCGTCATGGTGCTCATCATTTTTTTGACACGCATCTCATTTAATTCAATACTTTATTTTTAATTAAATCGATGTCTGTTAGCGATCATTTTAATTTTTTATGATTTAAATTATTTCTTCTTTTCTTTCCATTGCCCCTCCATTTTTAGATTTACGTAAAAAAATTGCTATGAAAAATGAAAATGTTGAACCGTAGACAAACAAAATTTAGTTCGGTCAATGCACACTTTTGGATTCCATTGCAATCAACAAAATGGGTAAACAGATAAAGATAGAACATTTTTGTGACATTGTACATTTAATATATGGAACATAATAAAACAAACGATTTTCATAATATGTAATTGAGAGAATTTTCTACTTTTACTTCAAGGCTTCAAACAAAATATTGTTTGGTTTGATTTTTTAACACATTTTTGTACCAATTTTAGGCTTCTCAGTCTGGGACCATCTAATTCGGACTGTCGCTTGTTGTTTTGTGTTCAATAGATATTCCAAAGAATAAAGGACATAGGCATTGTGTCCCTAGATCTTAAAGATATAACATGTTATAGATATTAGCCCATGAATAGTTTCAAATTCACGAATGAGGTAATTTTATGTCGTTGCAGCGACATCAAACTAAGTCAGACATATTCCAGTTTATACAATAATAACTGTAAAAGTAAAAGGGATTTTGATACGCTTCAATGATGTCATCATATTGGTTCTTTATCGAAGTTTAAGTATTGAATATAGTAAGTACAAGATATCCATAAGATAACCCAATTGGCTTCTTCATATCCAATGCAATGGATTTACACAGCTTATTCTGCATCATAAATTTTCTATTTTCCAAATTAATTGCATCCATTTTTATTGAATCTGCCAAAAGGGGAAGTATATTTTCTTTTGCAATTCAAATGGATTATCGAATTAGATACACTGAATTATGAATTTCTTTTCTATTCCGAATATCATTTTTTATAAGTATAAAAAAACCTTAAAAATGGTTCCCATTTTAAGTTTAAATCGGTTTCCACAAAATACCCAAAAGTATTTCGTTCATGGTTTACTCCCAAAGCATACACGTAAAATTTACGTCATATGAATGAAGAATATAATAAATATCCCATCCCGGCAGCTACTAATTGTTTGACTTAATACGAGTTAAGTTGTCATGCATACGATGCTGCTCAAAATTTGTATTGCAAATCTGTACGATGTTTATCCAATCATGATAAGAATATTTTCATTTGCTTCTAAAACGAATCAAATTAGAATGATAATATGAAGCAAAAATTTCAAGCAACAAAATCCCCTGTGATTGTATTTTAATTTGACTAAATAAAAGAAATGCGTTGTGCAAATAATGTGGCTGCTGTGCAAGTGTGTGTGTGTATGTTTGCCTTGGTAAACCACAATAAAGCGATGGTGTAAGCAAACATTCGCTTAATGCTTGTAATTCAATTTGTGAAACATATTTTACCTTCTTGCGGGTTAATTCAACACCAATTTTCATAATTTCATCTAAACGAGCGCGCAAACACACACACACACTCATCACAGCATAAGCAAATTTGTAAGTAACAATTGAGCAGACAGGATGTCACATCGAGTGACAGCAATAAAGTCAACATCAAAACAACATCCATCGTTCCGCGTGCGGAAAGAGTATAAGGGTAAACAAATTTGCGCGTTTAAATCACACACACACACACACACACAGAGAGAGAGAGAGAGAGAGAGAGAGAGAGAGAGAGAGAGAGAGAGA